TAGATACATCCAAATCTAGTATTTTCGATAACAAGTATGCAAAAAATGGAGTGTTTCTGTGGAATAAGATTAAGAATTTCGGTATTCAAGATCTAAAAGAGATACGAGCCGTAGGCAGGACGCTTTATAAGATAGTGTTTCTATCAGTAAAAGCTGCGAATGAGTGCTTATGCAATGTGAATTTGATTAAAGCCAACATAAGAGCTTTTATTCCTAGGTCGTTTGTTGAAACGTGCGGTGTAATTCGGTACATACCGGAGGAGCTCTCTGATGACGAAATTCTGGACAATATTAAGTCGGACATAAAGGTGACTTCAGTTTACAGAATAAAGAGACGTGACAGAGAGAACAGGACTAATTTTATACCTACCCAGACAATAAAATTGAGTTTTGAAGGCGATCAATTGCCTGAAAACATACAAATTTATTACACAAATTGTAAAGTTTTGCGTTATTTTCCAGCTGTTAAGCAATGTTTTAATTGCGGCAGACTGGGACACACGAGGTTGGGGTGTAGGTCGAAGACCCGTTGTATTCTTTGTGGGACCGAGGGAAAATGTAATGAAAACTGTGTGAACAAAAAATGTATACTGTGTGGGGATTCCAAACACGTTTCAATAAATAGCAATTTGTGTCCGAGGTGGCAAAAGGAGAGGGAGATTGTTGAGGTGATGACAATAAAAAAATTGACTAAGAAGGAGGTGTATGAAACGTATACGCAGCTTAACTCGTACAATCGGTTTCAGGCGTTAGCTGACTTTGAGGAGGTTTTTCCTCCAATTGGAGAAGAGGGTAGTAAAGTGGTGAACGTGGATGCAGAAATAAATAGGCGGTTGGTTAGGAAAAGCTACAGCTCAATACTTCAAGGTCCAATGCAGGTGGAGAAGAGGTTACCTTCAAGGCCACCAAAAGTTAAGAGTCCAATTATTCCAGTGTATCAACGACCCGAATGGACAAAGGTGTCTGAAATAGAAAAGATTATTAATTTACTATGCAACAGGTTTGACATTGGAAGAGATGATCCGCTGATTTCTGTAATAGCAGCCTTAAAGTATCAGGATGGACGATGTGAGGCTATTGAGGAAAGGATGGACAGGGTTCGTAATAACAATAATTATGGTCAAAATACTTCAATATAATTGTCAGAGTTTAAAAACAAATAAAAATTACATTGATAGTTTCGTTGTTCATAATGATATAGACATAGTTGCCCTACAAGAAATTTTTTCGCACGATGACAGTAAAGAGGACCACAAACTTTTAAATTTTAGACTTTTGAAAAAAACCCGGCCTGATGGGTATGGGGGAGTGGCGATTGGTTTTAAGAATGACATTAAATTTAGGAAAGTTAAATACCAGACATCGTATGACATAGTAATTGCAAAAACATTAAATTTAAATTGTAATCTGACGATCTGCTGTGCCTATTTTCCGCCGAACATTGCGGTTGCAGTTTTTGAGTCGGAGGTTTCCAGTCTGTTGTTGTTTCTGAATGGGCATAATAATGTTCTTTTGTTGGGGGACTTCAACGCGAGGATGACTAGGTGGGGTGATACGGTTGACTCTGTTAGGGGAAAAACCTTGTGTGATCTGCTTGAGGGTTCGCGATTGAGATGCTTGAATGATGGTTCCAGGACTTATTTTACGACGTCGGTACTAATGGGAATAGGACACAGTAGTGTTCTTGATCTTGCTTTCACTGACATGACGGACAATGTAAAGTGGATGTGCAAGAGGATGTTTGTGGGTGGTAGTCATCACTGTCCTGTGATGGTTGACGTAGATAACATCACAAAGCAGCCCTGCTACTTTGTTTCGAAAAATCTGTTGTATAAAAATTTGGGGAAGGTTAGAGGTGTTAGTAGTATTGGGGATCTGACTGAGGCTTTGGATGTAGCTAGACAAAGTGCTACAATTGATTTAAACGAATTTAAGCACACTCCCAAGTCGTGGTGGAACGAGTCCTTGGCTAAAAAATACAGGCTACTGAATGCGGCGCGTTGTAAAGCTAGGAAAACAAGGAGATTTGAGGATATTGAAGTGGCGTGTCAATTGTTAGACGAATGGAAAGCAGCGGTCAAGGAGGCAAAAAAAGCTAACTTCCTTGAAGCAGTTGAGGAGTTAAGTGCATACCCAAATACGAAAAGGGCCTGGGTGTTCATAAATAATGTGAAAAATGTACAAAAGAATTCAGTATCGCAGTGGCTTTCTGAGAATAATGCTGCGTATTTAGACTTTCTGTTGAACCAGATAGTTAATAAACATTCCCCATCACTTTTTGAGATGCTAGACAATTTACCGTCGACGTCGGGTCGATCTGACTTGGTTTGTGATCATATCTTTTCGCGGCTTTCACTGCTAATAGGGAAAAAGAAGTCCTCAGCTGGAGGAGAGGACAAAATTACTTACAAGATGCTTAAGGCTCTCCCTGAGGGAACTTTTGACACTTTGATAGGTCTTTTGCAACAATTTTTTGATAGGAATCAAATTGATGACTCCTGGCGTAGGATTAAAATTGTACCGATACCGAAGGGTAATGGCAGTTTAGAGAACATTGAAAATTTCAGGCCGATTTCTCTAATTTCGGTCATGGTTAAAAGTATCAATATGGTTGTCAAGGAGCTGTTAACTGATTACTTGGAATCGAACCAACTCATCCCTTCTAGGTGTTTTGCATATAGAAGAAATAAGTCGACTGCAATGTGTTTGAATGAGTGTATGCAGGTAATAGGTTGTGAGAAACAAAATAAAAAGAAAGTTTTTATATGTAGTATTGATCTAGCGAATGCTTACAATTGCGTGGACATTGTCCAGCTAGTGAAACTGCTGAATGAATATAAGGTGCATCCCAAAATCTATAGTTGGATTTACAATTTTCTCCACAGGAGAACTCTGATCCTTGGAAAAAGCGAGATTTGTGTGGAAAATGGGTTACCGCAGGGTAGCTGTCTTTCACCGGTGTTGTTTAACACATATACAGCTGAATTACATGGCTTAGAAGATGAAAATACTCACATCTTCCAATTTGCAGATGACTTTCTACTTGTGTCTACTAACAGCACGACAACAGGGGCTCTAAATAATTTGGGGAATAAGCTGGCAGCATTTCAGAGGTTATGTTCTGGGAGGTGTTTAAAAATAAACATAGCTAAAACGAAGTTTATGTACATGGCAAAGGGGTGTAAGAACTCTTTTTCCTTGAAGTTAGATAATGTTGACATTGACCGAGTAGGACAGTTGAAGTTTCTGGGGAGGATAGTTAGTGCTTCTGGAGCATTGAAAGATCATGTGGTGAAGATTAGAAAGGAAATTGTACCAGCTACGAACTTAATTAGACGACTCACCTCCATTAAGGCGGGGCTATCGCCAAAAGTTTCGTTGAATATTTACAGGGCCTTTGTCAGAGCAAAGGCTGAGTATGGCTGCACAACCTGGGCAAATGCTCCTTTTGGTTATAACAAAAGATTGGCGGTGATTGTTAATGATACGTTGCGACGGTGTATTGGGGTGCCTCCGAGTGCACCGATTCATTCGAGGTTTGTGCTTGCTGGTGAACTGCCTCCCTTGTTTAGAGCAAGGTGGTTGACGGCAAAAGAGCTGGTTAAACAATGGTTCCACAATTCGCATTTTAAGGATTTGCTTACAAGCAAGCCGCAAATAAATACCAGCTATAGTTTTATTTACAATAGATACAACACGATATTTGATAAGATAAACATAAATGTCAATTTCAGTAGGCATCCTTGCCTGACTGTGAAGAAATCAAGTATTGCCGGATCGAAGAAAAATATCGCGAGAGACCAACTGATTGCGATTTATAATGAGATGAAAAGCTCACTGATTGATGAGGGGTTTTATATCTATTCCACGGATGCCTCGTGCACCGGGGATGGGGTAGGATGTGGTGTGTATGATTTGCAAGGTAATGTTTCCTTTCTGTATAGGCTGGAAGAGAAATATGCGTCGATCACTGGAGAGCTTGTTGCAATCAGACAGGCGGTGGCGCTTATTGCCAAACAAAAAAGAACTAAAGCAGCAATTTTTTCAGATAGTTTATCTGCCCTCGAAGTCTTAGATAAGGATTCGACAGAGAATTTTTTGGTATCGGATATACATAAATTATTGTATGCACAGAGGGAAACCTTGCAGCAAGTTCGTTTTATATGGGTCCCAGGTCATGTGGGGATTGGGATAAACGAGAAGGCTGATCTGGCGGCTAAAACTGCCACCTCGGTTGGCCAAATCATTTCTATTGGTCTCACTCCATATGAAGCTCTTCTCAGGCTTCATGATGCTATTTGGAGTGAATGGAATTTTGAGTTTAAGGAATTGAATCAGTCAGTAGGGAAGAAATTTGCTGAGTATTCCCCTGAAATTGTGAGAAAACCATGGTTTAATGATAAAAGGCTTAGAATGAATAGCATGGAAATTAAGCTGATAAATAGGCTCATGCTAGGTCACACTTATTGCAACTACTATTTGAGTAAATTTAATCCTGGGCGCCTGGGTCACTGCTCTACGTGTAACTCCCCGGAAACTGAGGAACATGTAATTTTTGAATGCCAAGCACTTGAGGTGATGAGAAACAATTATGAAATTTTTAGCAAATTCAATGGCTTGTTGGAGCTATTGAAATCCAACAATCTTGATTATTATAATGAGCTTATAACCTTTCTTATTGAAGCAAATAGGATTAATGCGTTGTAACTAAAAGATGCGGGATTGAAAGACAAAAGAAAAATGTACATACAAAACTATAATAAGCGTTAGATACTAGGATATGCATATAAAATTCAATTGTCCAAATGTTATGTAAATGTTGAATATACATAGTGGATTTTTCATCAGTACAAAGTACAAACAAATATTTAAACACAAGTAGTGTTAATCTTAGGTTTTAGGACACATGACTCATGCATTAATTGTCTTGAGATGTGAATGTAGATAAATACTGTTGAAAAGTTGTTAAGAATATTGATGACTTTCTATGGGGGAAATAAGCCCAAAGTGGGACAAAGGGATATTAAAGTAATAAGTAAAGAATTGTGGGCTAAAATGGGTATATCTCAATACACCCACAGATATAGTCTAAGGTTTAGAGTTTAGAAGTTAGATTTAAGTCTGAGTTTTAAATCTCCTAACTAATTATTTAAAGTGATAAAAAAAAAAAAAGACTAATATTAATTGTGTGAGGAAAAGTTTGGAAGGTTAGAAAAATTTTAAGTAACACCTCATCTTGAGGTATGGCAAAGCCACAGATTGACACACTGAAACCTGGAAGTTGCCAGCTCGCAAAAGAGCTATTGTGCTGTTGCTGTCAAGTAAAGCAGCTGCATATCTACACGTATACATCGGAGTCGAGTCGTTGCAAAAGAATGGCAAATTATCTTGATGAAGCGCATTGAACAATAATCTGAAGGAAACCTGGCAGTTTAAGGGAAATTGTAATCCTTGCCATTTACGGATCTACGGATATAGATCTAACGATATCCAAAAAAAAAAAAAAAAAAAA